ATATTAATTTCTATTTCATCCTTATTCAATAATAGCCTTATTTCGATAAAAATAATAGTCTATACCTACTCTATAACATTATGATGGATAAATACCTATCAATAATTATACATTAACTGACAATGTTTCAATAATCAGCCTAAATTTATATTGTCGAATGTTTCAAATTGATGATATTGATTTGTGTGATAAGTTTTCAAAATAAAAAGTATACTCTCTCTTCTTTTTATATATTATATGACAGTCTCGATTTTTTGAATTCGAAGTATGTGTTCAACAGTTCATAATGTCCACCTCCCTTCGAATCGTTAACTGATGGGTGGATGGCAATGCAGTGGCGTTTAAAGTTTGGTCCGTACTCCGTAGCAACTCTTTTGCACCGTTATCACACTTTCTATTTAAACTAAAACATCATTTTTCGACCGGCCATTAACGAAGAAGGGGTAAAATTTCGGTAAGTTTGTTTATTGTTTTTATTTCTCTTCGAATAAATAATAATGATGTAGGAGTCTTCTGTATGTGATAATTGTTAATGGACGGGCTGAGGTTAAGTGTTTACACATTCCGCAATCGTTACGCCCAATATAAACAGAACATATTAAATCATAAATTTAATCAGCTATAATATATATTACGATAGTATGTCTATCGATGTCAAAAACGATGAATGCAATAATATTATTATACAAATAAAACGCTAGATGTATGAAAAAATAAATTAACTAAGGAACATTAGATTGTGGTACAATAAACTGAATAAATTAAATAGATTAAAATGCTTTTATACTCGGGTATTGATTTAAGAACATACTTTTTTAAGGGATTCAATCAATCGTTCAACATTTTTATTGTTGAAGTATTATTTTTTATGAAGTTCTTATAATTTTAAATTTTAATAATCAGTGCTTGATTTGGGGGGGACGGAGTCCTCCTTCTTTTTTAATTTTTTTTTAGCGTACCCCTTCTATTTGCCCCCACGGTAATGTGACGGTTAATTTTGTGTGGAACGCTCGTTTATCAAACATCCAATGAGTCCCCCATCTATTTTTTTTCCAAATCAAGCACTGTTAATAACTGCTGCCACGCTGTAAACAGACAACTCCATAGCCCAGTTATATCATCTTGCTGACTACCTAGCTTAAAGATCTGGTGAAAATGTATCGTTAGTAATCATGCTTGGCCAGTGTGATCAATGGAAAAAGGATAATTTAAATATATTCTACTTCCGAACTATGTGCGATTGCGTCAGACAAAATTAAACAAATTTAAAAAATAAATCATAATTACGATAATATAAATAAAACCTTGATAACAGTCAAATACTATAAATGATTGTTTTATTTTTGGTTTTCAAATCAATAAATAATAAGCTTAAAAATATTTTTCATATAGAATTCTCTTAATAATTCATTGTGGTATATTTATTATCTTATCTGAATCGCCAAAATACATGAAAAAAAGTTTCATAACGACTAACGAGACAACAAATAAAAATGTTTTAATTTTTCAGAAACTTTGGTTTTTCCAAACAGATTAAATCATCATCATTTATGTAGAGGTCTGTCTTCAAAAATTTGACGATATGGTACTTGAAATATGTTTATACGGTCCAAAAGAATTTACTAATAAAGGTAAGACATACAAATGGGGTTCGGATATGAAGGAAACAAACGGATCCATAACAGTTCGTTACAATGCATTAAAAAAGGCTAATTTTTACAGGTAATTTTATAAATTATAATTAAACAGATAGATCATTACTAAACCAAACTGTTTTGACTAATGAGGTATTTATAAAATGCGAAATTAATACATGTTATTTAAAATCGATTTTGTTTTGTTTTTTTTTTTGTTTAACTAAAAAACAAATAATTATAGATACTAAATAAAATAATACTGTAGGTATTAAATACCTAACCTAGATATTTTTATATTATATTATAGTCTTGTAATTACTCAAAATACATAAATTATCTTGATAATATCCAGTATAAACTATGTTTTACACAGATTTTTTTATTGTTAACGAATCTGAACTTTTATCAAGATATTTTTCTAAAATTTCCCAATGACTTGTTAAACCAGGGAAGAAGTATATCATTCGAGTGTTGTGAAAAATGATACCCCTCAATAGTAGCTTATAGTAGGTATACTCTTATACTCTATGAATTTTAAATCGAATAGTAATTGAAAACTATGAGACGCGATCATATTATCATCATAATGCGGGTTTCGAACTAATATGGCGTGGTCTGTCGCTCTACCTTTTTATATAACCATTGATATGATTTTTGAAAATTTTAAAAGAAAAGGCCCCCAAAAACCATGTTTTATGCGATATCTAGGTGAAGAAATAAATTATGAATTTTGAAACTTCATGTAGGTAAGCACACCATCAGACGTGAATATGTGATTCGTCTAATTACGCATATCGTTCAATACTTATTATAGGAATTAGAAAATTTACAATATTATAAGTAGTTTTTTTATTGAAAAATACTAAGTTAATATTGAAATGATTACAAATTATTTTTAAAAATTTTCTTTGGTATTGAACTAAAAAGGAAATATTTATAAAAAAAACGTTTCATTTTATTTTTCAAATAGGTAGTTTAAATCTTTTTTGCTTTAAAAAATTTTCTGTCTGGAGAAAATGTTCCTTTTGCACCATGGTTAACGCGGTTCTATACGCTCCCATACATCGCGCGTAAACTCTACTAATATACTTGTTATCATCAAATGAGGTATTGACCACATTTTTTTAAAAAATATTTCTGTATTATATTTTATCAAAAAATATTTTTTTAAAGTTATATCATAAGAATACTTAACACAATAATTATAAATATTTACAACAAATTGTAAAATTGTAAAAACTAAAAAGTAAATATGAATAATAGTTTTATTTTTTTAAATAATAATATTTATTACGTCATTTTTTTAAATTGAAATAGATAAGTGAGAATATCATAAGAATAGTAGCACTTTGCGTAAACAATTGACAGAAATTTTGGACGGATACTCCGTCCAATTATATATCTGTCGATTTATCATTCAAGAGCAACTGGTGGTACATAGGAGGACCTATAGCTGTTTCATATTGTAATGGGGAGAAATGAGTTTTACTGAAAATTACTATACTCTCTCGCTGAATTGAGTGTAGGTAAATACTTTTTAATATTTTGTAATTATATTGTTGAATATAAAAAACACGAAGTTTAATTGTCTTAAAAAATTATATGTTACTTAAAATATGATTTTATTTTTATAAATATTTTGCGTATTCGACCAACTTACGACTTTGGCGCTGACACAGAATTCTATTATTATCGCTAAAATAAAATATTTTATTAACATATATTATGTACTGTTTTCAGTATTTTATAGAATTTTTAATTAACTTACTGCACAACAGCTTTTAATAGTTGTTAGGTAGTGAATAAATTGTTTTAACGGAAACGTTGACGATATTTTGTTTAGTAGATAAAAGGCATACTTTTTAAGTTTTCGTAATTAATTATTACGTATATAATATATATTATATGAAATAGTTAACTTTGTGATCTACACATGATTATAATATTCAGTAAAAAATAATGTATATTAATACTTAAAAAAAAACAAAAATAATATTGTATAAAATAAGATATAAGGTGCCCCTAAATTGCCTATATAAAGCGCCGTCTTGCCCAAATATGTCACGTAATATTATGTAATATTAAAACTTAAAAGTATAATAGCAGTAAATCTATTAACAGCATTTTTATAAACTTAAAATATTCATCACAAATTTATAATATAAAAGTATTTTAAAATTTTTATTATATATTTTATAATTTTAGTAAACGAGAGCATTGATTTAAGTTACAATTATTATTTATACGAGTACATATATAATACACACTGAGTAGTATATGGAATACGGTAAGTTTTCATACCGATATACCCTTCTTAATTTACTCAATTAACTCAATACTTGATTAAACTATATATAATAATTAAAACAAAGATTTTTTGATTTTTAAAATGTAGGAATAATTTAAATGTGATGAAATCTTCTAGATAGCCCCGAGATGATATTAAATGTTTAAAAAATGATCACTAACAAAATAATGTTATTTTTATATTTTTTACGTTCAATATCATAATCATTCACTAAATAAAAATATATTTAATCGAATAATAAAAAATTTGTATATTTGATTACGTCGAAATTATACATTGTAGAGTCTACAGTGTAGACAGTTCAACAGTTACCATCAACTTGTGCGAACTCAAGTCAACAATTATTTATGGCCATCCTTTGATATTTCTATTTTAAATAATGTTTTAATATGGATAGAAATATTAAAGTACAATTTAAAATACATTAATAATTAAGCTAAATTTATGAATTAAATAAGTTTTTTTACCGATAGAAACCTTTTGCACAAGTGGCTCAAACCTTAAGCTACGGAAAATTTATCCATAAGGAATTAAAGTCTTTCTTTAGATAACTTTTATTGTAATAGGGTTTTTTCGACTACATTACAATTATAGCTATGATAGTAAAACGACAGAATATTTTTGAAATTTTTTTTGGAAATTAATTTACTTGACATGAAGTAATTATGACAACTGATGTTAGTGAAAGTATATTTAACCTATACATAATTATGTACTTTTTATAAATTGTTATTTTAGTAAAATTTTGTATAGTTTTTTTTTTTTTTTTATTAATCATCATAATTTAAATTTTAATAATAGTAAATCAATGGATTATATTAAAACGTGATCGTTGAAAACTTTATAGTAGTATTGTTTTAGTGTTAAATAATGTTGCAGGCTAAAGACAAAATATTAATATTATGATTCGCATTCGCGCATATAAAATGCGTTTCCCCACAACAAGCCAAACACATGATAAATAACGACTGTTAACGGATCGATATATTATATACAGTTCAAAATCTCATTTTATTTGAAGACCAACTCTTATTTTAATTCGATGGTTAAATATTATGGCTGAACAGCTCAATGAAGCATCAGAAAACATTCATAGAGAGAGACAACTACCCGGTATCTCCAAAGATCAAACACTTCGGAACGCTCAGATATCGGAAGATTTGGAAAACGATTATCAGTTTTTCCGAAAGTTGGTCAAAAAAAACATTATTGAATTGAATAACATTTCGGGTACAGCAGATACAATACAATTCTTACGCTTACAGTTCAACAATGATAATATTATAATATTCTGTTTTTATACGAACGCGTTATTCGTATTCTGTAGATCAACGAGCGATTTCGACTTGGTTGTGCAAATGTGACAAGGAACGTGACAAATCGTTAAAATGCGGAATCATTAAGTTGATGCTGGTGTCGCTTCAGCACTCTCGCGGTAACATGAAATTATTTAGACACTCGGCCCCAAAATATTTGCCGTATCTAGTCAACACTCCAAATCATGTGAGTACTTAACTTGCATACCAGTGAAATATAATATAATACATAAATATTTCGATATTTGGACGATTAATTAAAAAAGATAATCAGTAAAAAAGTTTATTGATTGAAACTTGAATTCGTACTAAGTCGTCTAAAATTAGACTTTTAGTTCATTTTGAAATTTCACATTTAGTGTTTACAGCGTTCAGTATATAAATAATAATTATTTTATTAACCCTAGCACTAGAAAAATACTCAAAAATTTGTGATTATTTAAACTTTATTGAAACTCCAAAGAATTTAAAAAAATCGTTTTTTATTGCAACTTATAAAAAAGTTAACTTACAAAAAATAAAAACATGTTGAAATCTGACTAGGTATTTAAACGAGGCTTAAGAGTTTGAAGTATGTTTTTGTACTAAAGTAATGTAAGAAACTAAACGTGAGAACAACAATTTTATTTTTTTCCAACTTGAACGGTTTTTGATATTTTAGTTTATGTGAACGGTGTTTGGAAATATTTTCGATTGCAGTTTTGTAATTTATATTTAAGCTTTCGTGGTTACGATGTTCAAAAATGAAAAACAAGTTTAGAGCTTGGGTTAATAACTTTTAGTTATCATCAAATAATATGATGATAATTCATGATGAAAAATCGTGCGTGTAGCTCAGAGAGTTGATCGACGACATGCTAGTAAACTTCGACTCGGACTCGGACAGTGACGACGAAACCAACTGTAGAACTTCGCAAGGTCGCCATTGCGGTCGTCGTCGAACTGTTTGCTCGTCTACTGCTGCCGTGTCATCAGACATGACCAGCGTTGCCACAGCGTTTGCCGATGACCGTTGCGTGCAAGTATTTTATGCTAAGTCCGATTACACAGTGAATACTTGGCGTTTGCCCGACTTCGTCCGGTTTCCGGTGCACAGTCGTTCGGCTTCCCGGTGGGAGAAGGCGTTGACGACCAACTGTCCGCCTATTGCTCGGGCGGATGATGCCTCTAAAATTGTGCAAAAAAACCTCAAAAAAGTCTGGGATTTGCCGGTCTTCTTACCAGAGTATGTGTCCCCACGATTATACTGTTTAATCTTCTTGAATCCGCTCTTTAATATTATGTATTTTGTGCTCTATCAAAATATAGCGAAGGTAAACCGTGGAAAATACCGAAATGGAATACTAGTGAATCCGATCTGTAAGTCTATACAATAAATAATTTCACAATATCACTTATCGTTACTTGTAGAAGTCCTATGGAACAAAAATGTCGTGGGTTAATGTCAGAGCAAATGTCACGTGCGATCAACGAATTTCGTTGGTACGAGCACAGTCGATTGGACGGAAGTTTGAGACCTATGGCTAAATTTTGTATCGATAAGTACGTATTAAACGGTCATCGAACTATTATACTTGTAAAACATTTACGTCTAATTAACTATAATTTCATCATTTAGAGACGTATGCAGTCAAGTGAAAAACCAGCCGGAATTGGACAAACAAGCTATTAACATAGCCAACAAAATATATCCAGAACGTATTCGAATGGTTATCCATCCGCGTCTTATTGCCGAGGTGGTCGGTACAGATTTACCAGACCGATGGGAATAGTGATGACTTTCACTATACCAAAAAGACATACACAAAAAAGAAAAAAAGAAAAGGTAAACGACATTATTTACCGACTGCAGCGGAAGTCTAGTTAGCTTATTGATAACATTTTTATAAAAGTTTAAATTTGATAGTTATTAGTTATTATTTAGGTTTATTTTTTGTAATATACCAAATTTTATCTGATAAAAATTATCTTCATAATCAAAATAAATTCTAAGCTTTTTTGTAACGATTACGTGGCTCACCCAAAAACAATGGTCTTTGATGCTACTATATACTTTCAATTTGCAATTATTGTCAAATTGTTTACACATAAAGCGGTTGTACGTAAATAAGTCGTATTATTTGCTGGTCTTAAACTCACCAAAGACACGCAGGTGAACGTGAAAAGAGCTGTTGACGTTGGACGATCTAAGCTCGGTCGGTTTACTACCGTTATCTTACGGAAGACGAACCATCGAGGTTTGCACGATACTTTAACTAACTCGTCGAGACTATCTGGATGATGCTAGTCTAGAGTCAATTTGGCTATTTGTTTATTGTAAGAAACATAAGAAAACTCGTTACTTGTATAATCATTTCTATGATTTATAGAGCTCGAATTGTAGAGATAATTGATCTTATTCCGTAGCTTCACAATGATCGAATAACACTAAAAACAATTTTAATAATATATAAACATCAGAGGTGTTTAGGTGACTACGCGAGATGAGGTCGATAGCATTTAAATTAAATACATTTTTTAACGTTTTATATTACTTTTTTTATACCTTATTATACAATATGTATGATTATTATATAGGCTGTGACCCAATATCTCCAATAATACTATAAAAAGAAGGATATACAAATGTTTAAGTACTTTCAGTCCTCAAAAAACTAACGATGGCGTATTTTTGGAGCTTACCCGTGGGTTTTATGAATATTTAGTTATCTAATATAATATTTGTTATCCGTCAACACACGTTTCGTTATCCATGCAATTGTGATCACTTATTATACCTTAATTCTTGAATCCACATAATTTTTGTGACTAAACATAGTATATATATATACTTTATGTACTTATATATCTACAGAGTGATTCATTTAACGTAAGACACCCAATATTTCAGAAAATTCTATCGTTTATGAAAAAACATCTTTTATATCATTTTAAGCCATAATAAAGTCATTCGTAGTTTAAGGTTTTTTCTCTATTAAGTGAGGATATACATTTTTGATTTCATATTTTGAAGGTCAGTCAACCTAGGTATAATATTATTCAGAGTATTTCAATCCAATTCAATTGATTTAAAAATATGTAAAACAAATATTTTCAAAAACATTGATAGTTTTTCAAATAATATATGAAAGTCTTACGTCAACCATGAATAATTTCTTTGTATGTTTATGTTTACGTATTCATGTTAAAAGTTAATGTTAGTTACACACTTTGATAAACCTAAAAATAATAATAACCAAAAGTAAAGTATGGTAATAGCGGTACTTTATAATATGAATATTGAATATTATTGACAACCAAAATGAGTTAAGTTCATCGTTTACTTTTTGAGAAGATTTAAAATGTGCTACCTACTTCATGGTCAGTCATAATATGTCGTTTAATCTCATTGTATTGTATTATAATGTATGAGTAAATATTAAATTATAATTTATATCATGATGCAATTAGGGTTTTTGTAACTTAAAATGTAACTTATTTTTTTAATCACAAATCGCATATGGTTTATGCCGATATGGTTTTAATGTCGAACAATGAAGTAGAATTCGACTTGTAGTGGCCTGAAGCATGGAAGCCGTTAAAAATACGACGAAAAAAAGTATATGATTATTAAAGTCGTTAAATTTGACTTATAGTAATGCACAATTATGCACTTTTTATAGCGAATAGGTCAATATATATCACACCATTATACGTTAACATTTGATGATAAATCATATATATTCAAGTCATATCGAACAATCATAATATGAAATACGCAATTTATTTCACATAGTTTTGTGACGAGGTTTTCTGGATTAAAATTTTAAGTATACATACTTAAATATGGATTAGGCACCTATAATAATAATTATTATAATACCTGCATATTAATGTGCTTGCCGCGTTTTTAAATACAATATTGTTCAATTAAAATAATTTATATAATACATATTAATTATTATATAAGTATTGGTAGTATATTATTGATAAAACATGTTGGATCAAATACTTCAAATTGTACAATTTCATTTATTATTATATTTATACATGTACATAATATACAAAGTTATAAATATTGTTATTGGGCTGACGTGCGGTGTGGCTAATTGCCACAGGTATTTTTAAGTAGTTTGTCAAACTAATTACCTATTTTTTTTGAAGTTCGAGTTTATCGGTTATTTTTGATTCGTCGAAAAATACTCCGGATTGGTTTTAACGTTGTTTTATTAAGGTATTAGATTGACGTTTTGAAGTTCTTTGGTTCTTTGGCCAATCGAATTGCGACAAAAGTACCTATAGGTGCATGCACGTGGTGTGTTGTAACTTATAGGTATCGGTGGATAATGAATTATATAGGTATGTCGATAAAACACGTTAAGTGCGTTATTTACGTACATAAAACACACAGCAATTAAGATTGGATTCATTTACATATCAAATGTGTTATTATATAAGTATAGACGGTTTCCTGTTAATCGAATTTACTTAGGTTTAAGGATAATTTTGAATGTTCACGTTGTCAAAATGTGCTGCAGGTGTAGATACATATACATACATAAACACACACATACATATATATATATTTATCGTAACGTATTTGTACACAAGTACACAATGAGTCTTTTAATATTTGTACAATATTTATAAAAGTATACCACCTATACTGCATTTATACCTACTAGTTTGATGTCTACGAAGTAGGTGCTTACATAATACTTAGTGTCTGAGACCGCACACAACCGTCTTAGACTAAAATAATTATTAAAACCTGCAATTATATATTATAGTATGTCACTATATGTAAGTAAATATTACTATACTACTATACACATTTCACGTCAATAATAAAACCATAGTATGTTTGTGTAGCATAGTATAATATATACATACATATTAATATATTAAATACTCAATACAAATAATACTATATTATATATTATACACGTATATGGAGATAGCGGAAATTAAAACAATTAAACGGTTTAAATATATTGTAATATTGAGTATCGGAAAATCTTGTCGGAATTTGCGTCTTTTTGATTTTAATTTTCAATTATTATTAATTAAATTTTAAGCGGTCACATGATACTAACATAATTCATAATTCATAATTATTAATGTTTATTTTCAAAATATCAGTATTCTGGAGATTTTGAAAATAGCTTGTGACAGTATAGGTATATTTATATGTTTAACAGTTAAATATAATAGGTACAACCGTATAATAAGGTGATATTTTTAAGGTTTTAAAAGTATTTACGTGTTTGGATTTTTTTTTTTTTTATAACACAGGTTCTTGAAAAAATACAAAATTACATTAAAAGATATATTTTATTTTTATTATTTTCCATCGAGTTTTTTATTTGTTTGATCGGTATAATATACTTTATTAATTTCATAATCCAAAATAAAATATTTTTTTGGAAATTTTTATTTATAAAACTCGATTTTCTATGGATTAGTGAATTAGTAATAAGTTATAAATATTTTAAGTTTAGATGAATGTAGCAAGTATAGTTACAAACATTTTGCGGTGTCTATTGTATATATTTCTAATTTGTTAATCAAAACTTTAGATAGGTGCTTACCTATAAATTAAAATATTTTATGATAACATAATTACTTAAGTTCTCTTTTGAAATTCGATTTTAATGTATTGAAATTCTCAGAATAAAATGTTCTACTTGAGATTATTTTTATTTAGTAGTTAAGAATATGAAATAAAACATAAATCCAGCTATTCAAAAAGTAATAACTTTTATATGATGACGATAGATTAGGTAAGAATAAGAAAAATAATTACCTATTTTTAAATATTTTAATGATTTCAAATGATTTATAAAAAAAAAAAAATCCTAAGAGTTAATACGTTTCTGGAGAATTGGTTAAATATAAGATATCATGTATAAATAATTACTTAAATACTTGCTTTGGTATTTATAAATAATCAACTTATATCTGAGTACATATAGAGCACAATTTCGTACAACAGTCGTGTTTCTCTCTTTTTTTTTAAATACAATATATTTTTGATCTTTGTAAATATTTCTGTGATTAGGTACTTTCCAATAATCATCTTGAATCTTATAATAAATAATATATTATGTGTCATATAATATTATATCGATTGAGAAGTGGCCATCGCTTGTATCCGCGAGCAATGACGGTGGATTGCGAAAATTTGCAATTGCAGACAGTTATCCTATAAATATTAAAGGAGTCGGTATGTTTGAACATAATATGCGCTACACTACACCAACGCAAGACTTTATTTATGCACTCGATTAAAAATATATTATTTCGTTTTAATTTAAAATCTTATATTATAATATACGGTGTAAAAATCAAGTTTTAATATTATTTATTCGTATAATATATGATGCGTACAAATTTAACGAACACGATAAACACTTTTTTCTCATTATATTTCGGTTTTGTTTTTTACAATAATTATTATCCATATTATAATATATATATACGTACTAAAAAATTCGTATCCATTATTTTCACCGCCTCTAAAATTATTTCTCGATGGAAGATAAATTATAGATATGACGTGTTTATCGTACGCATTTTTTACACTAATAAAATTTAATGAATTGATTTATGAAAATAATATCATTGTTTTTCAAAACTGTTCAAAAGAAACCGAAACCCAATTCAGTTGTCTGTGTTTGGTTTAAATATTTTTAATAAATTATAAACCACTATTTTATCATCGGGTTATTGACAGTTATTATTAAAAAGTTATCGTATACATATTTTAATAATTTTTTGTTTATACTTTAAATAACTGTACAGCAAATCCACAATAATAAGCACACAACGCCAGCAACATAAATACTACGGCCTTTATTAAAAATCTAACTTGCTAACAATTCCGATTAAATATTTATGTGTTCATACTACGATAATTACTATATTCAATAATAGTACACAATAAGAACGACGACGGTGGAGGAACGTAAACGAATTAAATTATTCCGAATCGAATAAGTTTTCGCTAGCACACAACACATCTGTGTTTAATATTTAATGTAATTACTAATCATTTCTAATGAACACTGTACAGAATATGAGAAAGAAAATATATTCTAATAATATTGATCTGGTCGACTTGGCCATTTATTTTACTAATACACGCTGTTGACTGTTGAGTACAAAAAACACCGAATTTTGCAGATTATACCTAAAAAACGTGCGCTGTATATTCGCTTAGTATTCTAAAACAGAGTTAACCAAACACTGCTTATAATAATATATTTAATAGTTAACTGCTTCGATAAACGTACCAATGTACCATATAATTTAAATTTTTATATTTACTTATTATATTTTGTATATGCATATACAGATGAATAGGAATGGTTACGACTTCAAAAATAATAACAAACAGGTATTATGGGTAAATAATCATAGTATTTACTAAAACATATTATATCATTATATCACAGTCTATATAAAAAAAATAACTATACACGCACATTATAATATTATTGTTATGCGTGTATGCAGTATTTTGTCACAAATATAAATAATAAATAATCATATTAAAAGATATACTATACACATATAATGATATGATGAGGTAGGCGACTACCGATTACAATATTTTATAATATTATAATATACAAGAACAAAATATATTTATACCATTTTTTCATTTTTTTTTATATATTCGTCATAATATAATAATATATTATAAGTCTATATTTAAACAATGGTATATCACAGGGTCATATTTTTAAAAATTAAAAAAAGATTAAACATGTTTATAAATATATTTTTATATATAGTAATTATATGAACGCGTGCGAATAAAAAAATGCCTTATAATAATTTATCAAAAACTACACAAAATAGATAATAATATTATCGTAATATAGCGTACATAGGAGGTTAAATTCTTTTCGTTCATATAAGCGTAAAAAGTTCGATAAAACCCGTTTGCGTCCACGTCCCGTTATACAGGAGTTTGGTTGATTTTTCCGGAGAATGTATAACACTTAACAAGAAAACGATACAATATAAAGTGAAAGCAATAACAAAAAAAAAAAAAAAAATTAAAAAATATAATAATATCAAATCGAGAGACAAATAATAATAATCTATAATAATTGGTAATGTCGCGGACGCACGCATGTGTGCGAGTGTGTGTTTGGATTACACGGTGATCAATAATTTACCAAGGTCTCCACACGGAGGCGTTGTCATTTTTCAGGGACATGTCGATGACTTGCAGGAGTCCCGCGGAAGTGGAGTCCGTGGTGCATCCGGTGCCCACCATCGAGTTGGGCGTCAGTGGCATCGGATACGACGAGGTGGTGCTGCCGGTAGGCGACGGGGGTGGCGGTGGTGACGAGCACGACGACGACGCGGACGACGACGCCGAGGACGAGGACGACGAGGACACCGACGACGAGGACGAGTCGGTGTTTAGCGTCAACGGCGTGGCCGGCGATGTGGTCACGGCCGCCGCCGGTCCGGTCGGTTGGATGGAGTTGAGTCGGTGGCCCAGGTGTGTCATGAGGTTGGCGCCCAGGGTGACGTCAAGGCCGGGAGTGGCGGCCAGGCACCGGGACACCTCGGAGGCGCAGCGCGTGTATCCTGCACGGAATCGGTCCATCTCGGTTACCGGGTTGCCGGAGAGCCGTTGTTGGCGGCGCAGCTTGTGCAAGTGCCGGACCGTTAGTTCGAGTATGTCGGCCTTTTCCAGTTTGCTGACGTTCTCGCCCTCGGACTGAAGGGCGACCACCATCAATTCCTTGAGCTCGTCCAAGCACCGGTTGATGCGGGCGCGGCGTTTGCGTTCCAACATTGGTTTCATGACCTGAACAAAAAAAATTGAAAAAATCCGTTAGTTAAATTACTCGTAAAAAGCATTATGCGATATAATAATATTATTAATAAATAATAAGAAATTTCGGGAGCGACGACTGTTCGGTTTTACGCGCCGAGCGCGCGAGCGAGCGTTGTGTTGCCTATACACGTACGCCGCCGCGGTCCACCGGGAATACAATAGAACACGATTTCTCTAACGTCGCCGACCGTTATTTCAAATAATAACTAAAAGTAATTTTTTTTAATTTTTTTTTTCTTGATTAAAATTAAAATTTTTTTTCTATATCATTAAATATCTCACACTCGACGATCGCGCCGATAATTTATTTTTCAACTGACGAATAAATAATAATGCAGCGTTTTTAAGATCATTTTTATTTAAAAAATTTTGTTTATTAAAACTGAAGCGTTACATTTTATTTTGTGTGTTAAGAAATCTTTTAAGATGGGAAAAAAATAAAAAAAAATTGACTCTTTCGAAATTTAAAGCGTTTAAATCTCCGGCGAAAATACGAGAAACGAGAAAAAAAACGATAAACGAAAATCGTCGACAACAATAATCGTAACGATATAGAGTAGAAAAATCGTATTTACCTTTCTGTACTGGTAAGTCCTGGAGACGGGTTGTTGCATTTCAGTGGCGACCGAAGACATGATTGTTGGCGGTCGGTATACGAAACACACGCGGAAATGAACGTAAGTATCAATAAAATATCGATAAACGGACTTTCGTAAATCCAAAACGAAATCGCACTGAACGGTTTACGAGAATTTTCAAGACAACAAAAATTTAAAAACCGTGTTATAATAATCACAACAACAACAATAATAATAATATAATATTATTATCGTGATCGATCGTCGACGACAGCAGCAACAGCAGCAGCAACGGCAGTAGCAATAGAACTGAACGCAGAGCGCGAGAGTTGTTTGCGTGCCAGCGGTCGGTGTCGGAATGCGGTGTGCCGGGCGCCGGGTGGGGCGTTTTATAGGCGCGCGGCCCGTGGGAACTCGGGACAGCGCGACGTTCCCACACACGCGGCGGCGGACACGGATGACGATGCAGCCGGCCAGCTGCCAGGCCATAGGCATTTTTCAACCGTATTATATTATTACGCGGCGGGCGCTCCTCGCGTGTGCGTGTGCGCGCGCGCGTGTATATTATTGTAATGTACTCACACGCACACACACGAGTTTACACGCGTTTGCGCGCGCACACACACACACACACACACACACACACTTGCGCGCGGAATAGGGACGTACAGGTACGTGTGCACGTGCGACGGACACCACCGCCGCCGCCGCCGCCACTATACCATTCCTTCTGGCAGACCGCACGACTACCGCCGCCACTCCTTTTTGTCCAAGACCTACCGCGCGCGTTCGCCTGTAAATTTGATAATAATTAAAAAATATTATTATTGTATTATACTGTTGGCCGTGCGTTTACGTGCGACGACTCGATACATAAATAATAATACCGCGACCTAACCGTGTAGGTAAACGTTGTCAGGACGGTTTGCACAAACGTTAAGTTGTATATCTTATTTATTTTAATATTTCGATTATCGTCACGACGATATCGTCAGCGGGGTCGTGGTTTTAATCGTATTTTTTTCGTATCGAATAGTTTGCGGATGATCTCGTCATCGTGCGACATAAAACTTAGACCCGATTTTTTAGGCGACCGTGCCGCCGTCGTAATAACTCTTGGTACTTACACGATGTATTGGATTTTTCGCCAACAGATCGGAACACGACGCGACAAACGTATCTCGCAATTAATAACACAGAAATAAAGCCAAATAGAACGATATGAATTGCGCGGACGATGATTCGACGTATTTTTAATCAGTTTTTATTTTTCGTTATTAAATTTTATTATTGTTTTATTACGCATCGATAATATTTAATATGTAGGTATATTATCTCGATCGTTTAATATTGACGATCAATGAACCATAAACTTATATATTTATTGTGTTTTATCATTTTTAATCACAGAGTTTTTACACAACGCCGTCAATTAACAAAACTCTATCGAAGCCCATTCCTATCGGTTCTAAAAGTACTTATATACATTTTTTTTTTTTGTAAACCACATGAGGTGATCACCCATGTGCTCCCGATTAATGCTCCATTACGAACGAGTATATCGTCGGCCGTCGTGAAAAGTCTATTGAGACGTATTATTATTATGCTGATTATTGCGCGGTGATTGGTTTAATATTTTTATTATTTTTGTAACACCTACCTGTATTACATAATGATATTACAAAGGCGCGTTACGATGTTGTATATCATTATAGCATTATACGACGCGACGGCCAACGACAACAATAATTGTACATTATGCTATTGTAGTACACACTATACTTAATGTCACATTAGAACAATAATAATATCATATTGTATAGTAATAAATAATACACCGCGGTAATTGTTTTTATAATGCATCGCTGTCGACGACAGTGATTTATCAGAATATCACAATAATTATAATGTTATTATTATAACAATAACATAATACTTGGATTGTTCGTTATCGCGTATACCGATTATAATAATTGAATATGCACTGTATAGCTCTGCTACTCTCGATTTTTTTTTTCCGCTACTACTACTACTACTAATACTACTACTACTACTACTGCTACTATTATTACTACGCCGAGTTCGCCGTTACACAATTCATAATTATTATAATTATTATTATTGTTATTGTATGGTAATGGCGGTGGGTTTTTTTTTTTACAGTTTTCGTGAATGAATCTGCTGCTCGGTGTCGATAAAATCAATATTTTTATTAATTATTAACACTATTATAATCGTACGTCTGTACACGTCTTTATCAGAACACAAGATCGTTGGTGTGATGGGTACGTCCTATTAAATTGAACAACCACTCACCTACGTCCGACATATGTAAAGTGATGTGGAGTTACCGCAAACGGCCGACAAATTGGCTTGTTTTCATTTCCTACGCATCGTCAAGTTTAAACGATCAATAATAAATTATGTACGCCCTATGTATTGAATGTGCGTACATCGTCAGCATAATAGGTTTGTTTTCCAAGTGCGTGAATTGAGAAACCGATTAAATAGATAAAAATAATTAATTACTCGATGGAGCGAAAAAAAACCGATTTTCACAAGGTTATAAGCGAAAAAAAATGGACGAAGGCAAAAGTCGAACAGCGTATCACGATAATTGTTATAATGTACGTTTTTGCAATGGTATATATAATGTAATAATAATAGTTATGATTATTATTAAATGTTTTAAACGGAAATATATTATCGTTGTCAATGTAACGACATGAAAATATTACTAAATAATATATTATAAAATTAGCGCAAGTGAATATTTTCAAATGGATAATGGTCATAATTGGGTATGCTAGGGATTTTTCGGTTGGGTCTTAAAATGATATCTGAATACCGAGCTCGTACATAAAAAATATTTATTTCTTAAGTCTGTTTTACGGTTGATGTGATAATGATACCAAAAGCATCTCAAATCAATAATACGAAACGCAAATACGTAAGTGCTAGCAGAAATCGGTGACATTTGAGTGATGAGATTATAATTATAATAACATGAAATAGGTTTTTTAAAATTCCCTATAGATGAAAAAATATGAAGAAAGAGACGTTTCAGCAGACCGTTGGAGTATAAGCCAACGTGATTATCGACGCTTATGCAGACGAGAGGCGATTATAATGTCGAGACGCATGAAAACAAACAAACAATTTGAAAATCGATGAGGTGTTTGCCATTAAAGGCGAAAGTCTTGTCACTTGACTATTCGAGTGTCGATCGTATGCCCAAATATATGCGGCAAACGAGCAAATAGAAACGGCGACGGCTTGCGATTCTCTACATAGGTAATACTTAAATATATAATTTTAGAGTACATATGTATATAATAATTATTTGAGATTGAGATATAATTTAGAGGTACTAATACTCCGTGTAGACCATGTAGTCCACGTGGAATTGTCTAATTTTATTTGTGACCAAGTTTGGTTAACGCATTACCTCACGGCTCACGGTACACAATACATAGTTGAAAATATTCAACTATCTATCGCCGTATGTTTGAAAATTGAAAGTGGTTACGAGTAACTTGAAAGGAAACAAAATTTTTTCTAAGTATCCATACTCACAAATTATAAAGTCTATAACCGAAAATAATTCAATGGATCACGTGGTCTATACAAAAGACGACGTTAGCATAATAATAGCTGTTACATAATATATAGTACTTTAAGTATATTGTGTTCGAGAGGCTGAGAGGTGGAAGATACCGTTTGTATATAAATAACGCTCACTCGCATCGAACCTACAGCACACAGTAATGTTGATAATGAATGATAGCAACTATATAATGATAATAAGAATAATATCAATAATAATAATAATAATAATAATAATAATACAGTTATCCGCATAAAGTGGCCACATTGAATCCTTATATATATATATTATACATATTGTAATAATATTTTCGATTTGTTTGCGGAGATTATGCGTATTTCGTACAATATATAAATAAGTATATAATATGTTTATACGCACCAACACCATGTCGAGTATAGTGTGCCAATGCGGTCGACGAGACGACACTCGTAAATTCAATTATTAACGAGTCGACACATCACACACACATACACACATATGTGTACTGCGCAGTATACATATTATATTATTAAGTATTCATAATAATATGGTGTTGTAATGCACGGTGGGCCGACGAGTGATGTGGGACAGCAGCCTGTGCCGCCGGAAAAATAAAAACCAAATATTACGTATAATATACACTATACCTACTATATTAAGTATAGTGATATACTGATATATATACGCATTTAACGGAGCGACGGTTATTATATTACCTACTCGTGTATATATTATGAATATATATTTTTTCGGCCGTCAAAACCTCCCCGGGAAAAAAAAAAAAAATAAAATAAAGTGAGTATAACCGCCGACGACGACCCCTAATGTGCCACATAATATCATTTTCGAAAAACGAGCACGTGTTGCACGTTGAAGGGTACGGCGGCCATACAAGTCCTATTGGCTATTAGGCATACATATTATGTATAATAATATAATATATGCGTGCGGTGTGGTGTGTGTCTGTGTGCATGTATAACATAAACTATATGTACGTCTATATATGCAACACGTATACGTATTATAATTTATAATATTAATATATACTATTGCACAGATACGCTTCTCTCGCACACGTGTACAACATATATAACACGTCGCATACCTTATTTTTCGAGGAAAAAATTTCTCACACCGAACCCTCCAAGCACGACGACGGCGACAGGGATGTTAACCACGTTTTTTTTTTTTTTGTCTTTTCTTTTCCGTATACGTTCACGCCTCTCGTTAGAATTGAAAAAAAGCGAGTACAAAAAAGAGTTTAATAATACGCGTGCTATACTCTATATGTATATATTTAAATTTTTATTACATTTCATCACCATTACACACATATGCGATACGCCGTCTATATTATTCAATGACGTGTTGTTAAATCGTATATTGAATGATCTTATATAACACGCATAAATATATAGTAAGTATGTATGATGATATTATAATGTATATATTATCGCGTCTCGATAACTGGAATTTTGTTTCTCATATCTCTTGAAAATATTTTTATGCACTGACGCACTGTATAACTACATGTTGCACAATTCAACATGCATTATTATATTATAATAACTCGTCGAAAAATGTATAAGTCAAATTTATCACCGTCAACGTTTGAGAAGTTGATACCGAGACGATTCGATCGATAAAATACAATAAATTCATGTTTCAGTACAGGTGAGTCAATGGGGTAGATAATAGACGGTAAGTCATAGGGAATCCGTGGTGATTATACGTGGTGTTTGTTTTGCAGGGAGCGTAAATGGATTTACGGTGGTTTGCTC